GAGTTCTGGTGCAAACCCATTCCCCCGAAAACAAGAGCTTTTTGTTGGGAAGCAATTCATGGTAAAATTACTACTTTGGAAATGTTACAGAAGAGGAGACCAATTTATGTCTCTCTCCAAACTGGTGTGTTTTGTGCAGATCTGATAACGAGAGTTGCTTTCACTTTCTGATTTCTTGCTCTTTTGCTGCAAACATATGGAGGTTTTTTTCTTTGTTTGGGTGCAGGTGGTCCTTACCAATTGAGGCAAACTTGTTGTTTGACCCTTCTACGTTTACTTCGCCAAAAAAGAGGGGAAGAATGATGTGGAGGTATGTTAGAGCAGCCTTGGTTTTGGACCATTTGGGAAGAGAGGAATGCGAGAATTTCCTCTGAGAAGGAAAGAAACAAGGAAGAAATAAGGGAGTGTGTGGTGTTTAGAGTGATCCATTGGATCAAATCTTTTGACCTGTTTTCTCAAATTTCTCCTGATGACTTATGGAGAAACTGGGAAGGTGTTTAGAGTGATCCATTGCATGGCTACGCCCACCTCAAGCCTATGTGAAACTGAATTTTGATGGGAGTAGCAGGGGGAATCCAGGATCTGCTGGTATCGGAGGGGTTGTGAGAGACATAGAAGGCAAGTTAATAGCCTTGTTTTCTGGTCCACTGGGGTTTGGGGACTCTTTCAAGGCAGAATTGCTTGCAGCCTTACAAGGAGCACAAATTTCTAATGACCTGAACATAACCAATTTGGTGATTGAAGGGGACTTAAAATTGGTGGTGGGTTGGTTAAAGGATTCAGAATCTGTGATATGGTGCTACAGGGATGAGTTAAAAAAGTTTTTATATATCACCAAGAATATGAATTTGAGGATACATTGGGTGAGGAGACCGACAAACGGGTTAGCTGATACTCTAGCCAAGCAAGGGGTGAATAGACAATCTTTGTTTTGGGCTCACGTGTAATTTTTCTGTTTTGTTTATAGAGAGGTAGCATTTCGTGCCTCTCTAAGGTATGCTTGTAATGATTATATTTTCAGAATTAATGAAATCTAACTACATTTATAAAAAAAGAAGTTGTGGGTTGTAGGATAGGGGGTGGAGGTGGGACGTAGGAGGAAGTTTGAAGAGAAAAGATGAGCTTGCTGTTGAGGAGATGGTTCCTAAGAAACCTTGTGGTTCAAGTATTATATTTGGTTCATGTGACAGCTCTTTTTGATGCTGAAACTTGGTGTAGTCGGGGCAGGTCCTACAAAAAGATAAAAGAAGGTTTTCAAGAGAAAAGGAGTGAAGAATATAGTGTTGACATCTGAGGATTTTGGGGGGAGGAGATTCAATCACCACTCAGGTCAGAAATTCAATGGGTTGACCTAATAAAATTGAGGATGGGAATGGATTTGCTTTGAGAGTAATTCATAGAAATTCAGAAAAGGTGGAAAGGTGTGGAGGCATGGACCTTGAGGGGAATTGTTGAAAGAGATGTTGAGGTGGGTAAAAGCCTTGGCTTGTGCTTTTGAGGTGGCAAGACTTTTGCTATAAAGGTTTTTGAGGAGTTTAAGAGTAGAATGGATGAAGATAGATGTAGTAGGGGAAGGAGGAGAGATTTGGAATGAAAATGATGATGGGCATGATGAAGTGTTTGAGGGGGAGGGTTAGTGGTGGTTTTTGAAAATTGTTTTTTTTTTTTTTGCTTTTTTTGTTTCGAAGGGGTGAAGATCTGGGTTGTTTTTGGGTTTGGGGGTCTAGGGGGGTGGTGTTTGTGGTTTCAAGAAGAGTCTGGTTTTTTATTTGGTTAAGTTTTTGTTTGTATGACCTATTGAAATTGTGGTTTAGGTGGTCTTCTTTCTCTCGGGTGATATCTTATTACCTTTTTTTATGTACTCTCTTTTTTTTTTTAATGAATTTCGCTTTACCTTTCGAAAAAATGCCCCCTTTTATTGATTTGGTCAATGGACCAGTTCATATTGCCTTCAGTGAGGTGTAAGATTGGCTCAGCATGACATAGATGATGTTGATAGCTTCAGTAATGGAACACATGTAGATAGGATTAGATTGATGTGATCTCTTTGATGCATTGAACATGTAGTGCATGCTAGTAGACAACAATTGATGCCAAGTTGTATATCTTGTGTTCACTTGGGAGAATATATATATGATACCTTTCGCCTTTTAGCTAGTGGTGATGTCGATAGTTGGTTGACAATGAGTATGAAGGGCTGGCTCATTGCCAGTATTGGATTGTTGATAGAATTTTGGTTTTGGCCTTTTGGGGTTGAGCTACACCATTTCTTGAGATTTTTGTTGTAAGATGGTAATTACGACCATTGTGGTACATAAAGTTGAGTTGAAAATGCAAGAGCAATAGACATTAATCAATAAAACAGAATTGAACAGGAAAGCATGGAAGTCTAGCATGTTATGCTGTTATCACATAAAAGTTATGACAAAACATTGAAAGAGGGGGTAAACTTATTTCTGTCAACAAATAATATGCAGCCAATAAGACAAGGATTGGTTGTGTCAGCGTGATTCAACATTACAATTTCCCACAACACAATTTCCCTAGGATATTTGTTCTGTCTTTTAGAATTTTCAAGACTTTCTATGTATCTTTGAACTAATTTGAGCTTGAGAACTGAATTCAGAGCAAGAAGAAAACAGATCTAGGGGTGTCAAGAATGGTCGACCCCCACCTCAAAGAGTCTCTTTTATATTAAAGAGATAAAAAGTATGCACAGTTACAAGAATGCCCTTACAGGGCTGAAAGATAAAAAGAACAAATAAAATAATAAGAACTACGATACTGTACTACAAGGACTACTCTAATAATGTACATCAAGATAGCTCCAATAAATTTCAAATTTAAGCATAGGAAAGAATCGTGTCGTAAAGGATTATGCCCAATGTTCCTATATTTTCCCCCAAAAAGGATTTCAATTTAGGCATGATTTGATTGGTCCAAATTAATCATGACAGACATGTGGATGTACTTGTTTCTTGAAGGTTGAAATTAAGAACTTTCAGCAACTTTAGCAGGTTATGGAAGTGCGCGCAATTGTTTAACATTGTTGTAATCAATTTACGTAGCAATACAATATCATATACCATTTATAAAAAATCTTATTGCTCTTGCTGATGTGGCAGTTCTCTTTGTTTTGAAAGAAAAATTGTAAGTGTTGACAAATATCTCTTTTGTTTACTTTATGGTTTTAGTTTTTACCTTTGAAGCTAAGCCATATGGATAGGTAGTTATATCATGCAATTAGTGGAATTAGCATGTGTGGTGCCTTTTTTCTGTGGACAACCGGTTTGTTTACTATGGAGGTGTGAGGCTCTTATTCTAGAGCCCGGATCTCTTGTAAGCAAAAACTCTGCAGACATGGTATGCGGCCACTCATGGGGAATATCTCCCGTACATGTATGTTAAATTCACATGGAGGCGTTCCCAATGTGTCGGATGTGCATTGCTTTCAGTGTGTGCAGAGTTTTTTGCTTGTAGGAGATAGTCACCTTATTCTCTATATTTGTAAAATGAAAATTTCTCTCCTCTCTCTCTGTCTCACACACACACACAAGTTCTTCAAGTTCAATTGTGAAACGGACATAGAACTACTACTCTATTCTATCGGATATGTAAGTGCCAACCTAATGCTTTGAGATTGTTGTTACGTTTTCCTTTTTGTATTTAACTTTCATCATTAAAAGAAATCATTTTTGAATACTTTTATATAACTTGTATCCTCAGCCTCAGCCTCAGACAATACATTTTGATCACAAAGAAAAACATTAGGATGTTTATTGTCATAGGCAGAATACGGTAATCTAGCAGTCATTGCTTGGGCAGTTTGGTTTATTGATTCAACTTCCGAGTTCCGAGGTTACAGGTTTGATGGGGGGGGGGTATTGTTTTGTATTTGCATTATAATTCTTCTCTGTTTCATGCTCCGACTATAAACCAAACTGCCCAAGCAATGACTGCTAGATTACCGTATACTGCCTATGACAATAGGCGTATAAAAAAACTATACACTTTTGAAGTGCATTATGCCTAATTTGTAGGCATATGATTCTGGTTCAAGTAATCTATCTTCACAGTGTATGCAGTCTACCATGTAAAATCACTCGTGTTTCATGCTCTTAGGCCTCGTTCATTTAGCGGTATCACAGTGTAAGTGTTTCCTGAGTATAATTTACTCAGGAAAGTTTATTTACTCGTGTTCTTTTAGTTGAAACTTACCCATGTTCTTTTGTCTCACCAACATTCTTGGGTAAGAGGTCAATTTGTTACATTATTGCCAAAATTACTCTTTTTGGAGGTTTTCTTGATATCACTAATCATAGAAAGATCTGAATTAAAAACAAATTAGAGGTTTATCCTATCAAATCAATAAGTAGAACTTGCTATGTTAAAAAGAAGAAAAAAAGATGATATGTTTTTGTTTTTTATTCATTAACTACATGTTTTTTGATAATCAAAATACAAAAAAAAAGATAAGTTTTATTGAGTTATTAATCAGAGAGGACGCCGACTTGCAAAAGAACATGGGAAATTTGGTTAATGTGAATTTAACATATATGTACGGGAGGTTAAAGTTGAGAGGCTCTGCCGATGTGAAAAATTGAGAGCCTGTGCCATATAGATATCTACTGGTAGAGGAAATTAAAAAAACAAAAAAAAAAAGAAAAGCTCTGGAGTCTGCTTGACCGATCGACCAAACCTTCAATGGGGTTTGGGGCCGGGCTGTCCGTGCCTTCTTCGAAACGAGATGGGATCTGCTCCACACACCTTATGCCTTACACGCATATTTCTAATGCATGGTGGATGTACCTGTGAGGCGCTCATTTGTGAGGAGCAGATTCCGTTACCTTGCTAGGTCCGTTCCAATAACTTTTATAGAAATCTCTCTCTATCAAATAAAATACAGAAATACGCGATGTACCCAATCCATGGTAGATCCGGTCCAAATCTCTCTCCATCACAGACGCATCCACCGTACATTAAAAACATCTCCCGTGAATAATAATTTATAAGCACGAGAGATGTACCCAATCCATGGTAGATCCGGTCCCGTCTTGCAGTGACTCAAGCCGATCTCGTCTTCTTCGCTCTCCCACTTCCTCGCTTCTTCTAGAGCCTTCCAAATTGGAACCCTCCAGAATCCCCACTTTCTTCCCAAGTTCCCGTTTCTATTTTATCCTCTCCGCTTCGCGTTTCGGCAGGCCTCCTATTTTTATCATTTTCTCGTGCACTAGATCCCTCTATCTCTGTCTGGATCATCTTATTCTTCCCATCTGTAACTCAGCTCATGGCGAAATACGGAGAAGGCGATAAGCGCTGGATTGTTGAAGAGAGAGCAGACGGAACCAACGTCCATAACTGGCACTGGGCCGAAACCAACTGTCTCGAGTGGTCCCGAAACCTCCTCTCCAATCTCCTCTCTAACCTTACCATCCTCGACGGCGAGGGCAACCTCTTCATTAAGACCAAGAATGTCGAAAAGGTCGACGGAGAAGCCTACGTCAACATCCGCAAGGGCAAGATCATTCCTGGTTACGAGATCAGCGTTTCTCTTTCCTGGGAAGGCGAAGCCAAGGATGCCGACGGTAAGTCCCTCCTCAAGGTCGATGGAAACGTTGAGATTCCTTACATTGCCGACGAGAACGCCGATGAAGATCCCGAAGTCAGGATCACTGTTAAAGACGATGATCCTATCGGGAAGAGGTTAAGAGATGCCTTTTTATCCAAAGGGAAGCCGATTATTTTGGAGAAAGTTAGGGTTTATGTTCAGAGTATGGCTAAAGGAGGGCCCGCCAAGGATGACTTAGAGTTGAAGAAGGCGGCAACAAAATCTCCGTCCCCTGCTCCGGTATCTGCACCGGCTGCCGCTGCTGCCGTCGCCGCTCCAGCGAAGAAGGATAAAAACAAGGAAGGGAAGAAGGGGTTCAAGTCGATTTCTTTGACCGAGAGGTTTAATTGTCGGGCGAAGGTTATGTATGAGATCTTGATGGATGAGAATAGGTGGAAAGGTTTTACGCAGAGTAATGCAAAGATAAGTAAAGAGGTCGGAGGGCAGTTCAGTCTTTTCGATGGCTCAATTACCGGGACTAATCAAGAGTTGCAGGAAGGAAAGCTGATTGTTCAGAAATGGAGGTTCGGGAGCTGGGCGGACGGGATTTTTTCGACTGTAATCGGCTGTCCTTGTTTACTTTTTCCTCGTAACTTCTTGGATTGGGGAATTGGAATTGACGAGGATATACATTTGTTCAACGTTGCAGGTGCGGCTTGCTTTTGACGAGCCTGAAACCGGTGTTACCATTGTTAGGCTAACCCAGACGGACGTACCGGAGGAGGACAGGTTGGGTTTCTGCGGTTCTTTCTGTTATTTATATTCTTTTGGTTTTGGGGCTTTTTTAATCGTTTGTCTTTTCTGATTATTACTGTTTGGAAGTTGCCATGCAGATATGGCAATGCTACAGTTATTGAGAACACCGAGAGAGGCTGGCGGGAGCTCATTTTCTACAAGATACGAGCAGTTTTTGGTTTCGGACTTTGAAATTTTATCACATAAATAGCCTGTTTCAGTATAAAATTTCACAAGCATTTATCGTTGTTTCAAGCCTTTCCGTGATTTTAACATCAAGGCTATATGGGGTAGTGGATATTCGTTGATTTGGTGGTTCGTGTTGGTTCAACGCTTCATCCTCTAATTTTTCTGTAATCCAATTTACAGTAGAAACAAAAATATATGCAAGTGGAATTCGCATAGTTAAGCGATTGCACTGCTTTGTTTTCGCATTGAAATTGTTGATCTTTTACATCCAAGTGTAAAATCTTCCTGCATCGAGCGTTGAGACAAATTGAAGAGTTTAATCTCCCATTCATTATCCAGTGGCAAGGTAGAAGTTGAAGGTCTAGCCGAATATAGGAATTAGAACTCCAAACCACGTGTTTAAGACAGTACAGCCTTGTCTAGGCTTGGTTTCAATCAACATCCTTGTCCATCTTTTTGATGTCAGAAGATAAATGCAGATGTGCAATGCCCCATGCCCTCCATGGTGGGTTGGTCTTCATGTTCATGGTGTGAAGAAAATTGAAGTGGCCTGTCCTAGCAAAAGGTAGGAAGAAATGGTCTATGATCATATTTAAATCCATTTTAAGGTGGTGGTGTTCAATACAAAAATAGTTTTCCCTAATGCAACATGCAAGTGCAGTCATGTTAGTATTTAGCTTTAGAAGTATCAGTTGGCCAACCTAGACTTTGTTTATATACCAATGAAGTTAAAACATGAACTGAAGGGATAGCCGGATGCATGGCCATTTGCCGAGATCCAGTTGTATGATGTATCGAAGGTCAAAATTGGTGAGAGCAAACAACTTGAAGCGTCGTTAGATTCACTGTAGTGATGATTAAACCTGCGTTTGAAATTTTGATGCCTGATAAACACCCAAAAGGATGGCGTTGTGCCTATTTTATAGCCACATAATGCAATTATTGTCTCTTGAATTAGCTTGTGTATACGAGATTCCATGATATTCAATAGAGAAGGAACTGCAGCTCAATGGAATTACAGCAACAACCAAAAAATTTTCGCAGACTCGAAAGAAAAACCTGGGTAATGGATTTCGTGATAGTCCAATTTTGGTTCATTTTTGAGTAGAGATAGCAGCAGAGCTGCAAAATGAGGTATTGAGTTAAACTAGTTGGAGGGTGACAGGTGTCGAGTATCCAACTCAACTGGGTTTTGCATTAGTTCGATTTAATGGGCTTTGACCTTTGAGAGATGGGGACTGCATGGGCATGTGATAAGCCTATAGGCTATAGCAACTCATGTGAGGGTCCCAAATAATCTCTCTTATTATTTCCCAGTAGTAATAGTAGACTAGTAGTAGGGGTGTCAATTGGGCTTGATTTGGTCCAATCCGATCCAGGTCCAATATGAGTCTATTATAAATGGACCAGATTCAATCCAATGTATTGAATGTTTTGGATTAATTTGGACAAGTCCAATTCAATGTTTGGATCATCCAATTTGTTCAAATTCATTTTGATTTAGATTGATTTCAACTCAAACTTGGTCCATTGATACATATATTCTTATCTTATATCAATGGACTAGATGTTGGTTTAGTCTAACCCTATCCAATATAAATTTGTTACAGTTGAATCAGATCCAATCCAATCTAATAAATATTTTGGACTAAATTAGTCCAATCCAATATGTCTTGTTGGTCCGTCTAATCCATCTAAATTGATTTTAGACTGGACGGGACGGGACGGGGGATTCAATGCAAAACAGATTGGACGGAAGCAGCAGCAAGGAAAAAAAAAAAGACGGGGCGCTGCTTTTTTCAACTTGCTGCTTGAGCACATGACAAAGTTTCGTTGATGCATCCAACGACTTTGAAACCGAGATAATGCTGGCCTTGGCAATATCTCGTATAAGATATTGCAGTGAACTGGAATTAAATACATTGTTGATGACCAGAAGGAATTAATACTTAAGCAAAGCAGTTAATTGTTTTATTGCGTTATTTAGAGTTGTTGAAGCCGGCGGCGTAGACCGCCATCGCATAAGTAGGACTCGGTTTTGCTTGGCACATAGGATAGAGCTGAGACGAGCTGTTGGTTGCCTTGTGGCCCACACCCACTTTTGTCGTCTCTGTGCACTCTTTTCATCTTCTTCTTCTTATTATATATTTTATCAATGATCGTGGGTTGCAAGGAGAGACAACAACTGAGAATCAATTCCAATTCCAATTCCAATTCCAAACATCTCAACTCATTACTTTATTCACAGTTGCACTATATTTAAACTACTGATAAGAAAAGATGCCCACTGACCCGGTGCAGGTGGTATGACAGTGACTGATTCATCAGCTTTCATTCTTTGGAGTCCCCATGGGTGCACTGGACGAGTGCACCCACCAATGAAAAGCCAACACATCATTTCATCAGTCTTAACCGCGAATTAATGGAGACTTTCTCCCTTATCAGTGGTTTGGCTGGTTGAACTGGCTGCAAAACACGATTTGGCCTTCCCTCTCATGTTAGAATTCGACTTAAACCCTCTCTGTCTTCCGAACCTAGTTCTGTTATCAAATCATCGGCAACCAATACCAACCGACGCCGGCGGGAACGGATCAACCGGTGATCAACGGTGAGCTGCTGCTCTTCCTCCTCCTCCTTCTTCCCTGCAAATTCATTAAAGAAGAGTGACTTATGAGACAACATATGAACTCCCAGATGCAACATATACAAATTTTTTGCTTCCATGAAATATTGAAATTTCTCCTACAATATTGCCTTATTACAGAGCTTTGTATAAATTTATCACCTAAATCAAACCTACAATATTGCCCTAAATTTATCACCTACAATATTGCCCTAATCAACCCTTTCTCAAATCAGAAGTTTATCACCTAAGTCAGAGCATTTCTTTGATTCTAAGATATATTCTGAGCACTCAAATAGCATTAAGAAAACGACTTTAGATCGGAGCTGTTCCATCGGTGGTTGTCCAGGTGAGTGGCTGCTGCTCTCGTTGGTGGTTGTCCAAGTCAGTGGATGCTATGGTCGCCGGTCCTCCTTCCAGGCGAGTTGTTTTTGTTGAAAACAGAACAGAATAAACACTTGTTTTTGTTGAAAACAAAAGAAGAAGAAGAGGAAGAGGAGGAGGTCAAAAACGAGCCGTCGGAGCTCTCTTTATCGCTGCCAATGGCCGCCGGAGCTCTCCTTGTCGCCGTTGATGGAGGAAGGGTTAAAGGAGTCCGCGTTCTGTGTACCCGTGAGTGCACTGGGCACTTGAACCCACCAATCAGATTCGACCACGTCAACCATCCAAACATTAACGGTCAAACACGCGTTAACTTGGATTCGACGGTTCAATCGAACATGAACCAGAGCCAACACGACCCACTGGTTGCATCAAAGGCCCGTAAACCTCATATTGCGAGATTTTTGAGTGATTTTCCCCTGGAGCTTTCCTCCTTCCATCGAACCCTATCCACACACCGAACCCTTCCTCCATCGATGGCGAGGAAAGCTCTGGCGATCGATGCCATCGATGGTGACAAGGAGAGCTCCGACAGTTTGTCTGACATCCTCTTCTCTTCTTCTCTTCTTACAAGTAGCTCCGGTGGTAGGTTTCTTCTTCCATTCTTCTTCTTCTTACAAGTGTTTATTCTGTTCTATTTTCAACAAAAACAACCCATCTGAAAGGAGGACCGGCGACCATAACATCCACCAACTTGGACAACCATTGGCAGGAACAACTCTGACATGAAGTTGTTTTCTTCATGCTATTTGAATGCTCTGATATATATATATCTTAGAATCAATGAAATGCTCTGATTTAGGGGATAAACTTTTGATTTGAGAAAGGGTTGATTAGGGCAATATTGTAGGTTTGATTTAAGTGATAAATTTTAATCAAACCTTTGTAATAAAAAATGACAACTTTACCAGCTTAGGGCAATATTGTAGGAGAAATTTCAACATTTCATGGAAGCAAAAAAAAATTCATATGTTGCATCATAAGTCACTCTTCTTCAATGAGTTTGCAGGGAAGGAGGAGGAAGAGCAACAACTTACAGTTGATAACCGGTTGATCCTTCGCCGTCAGCATCAGTTGGTGTTGGTTGCTGATAAAGCTACAACTTGGGTTGGGTTAGCCCAAAATCAACCCTACCCAACCCAAAAAAGTTGGGTTGATGCTCAAGTTAGAGTTAAGGTTGGAATTTATGAACCTTACTTTACTTTGGGTTGGGTTAGGATTGACCCCTAGGGCAACCCGACTCTATAGTACATATGATATATAAATATATGTTATATATGATTATATCATATATTGATTTATTTAGATGCATGATAGTTGTATAGCCACCACCACATACTATCATTTATTTCATTTAAGATAATCACTTCACTTAATCCTAATTGGAAATACTAAAACCTTGATAACATATTTTATGTTTTCTAAATAATTTATTCTTAATCTTCTCTTTGTTGTTTGCTATCCATAGCTTGCTGTCCATAAAAGATCTATTATAAGTCAGCATAATAAATTATAGTAATTTCAAACACTTTTTTTTCCTTAATTTTATACTTAAAGAACCAATAAAAACATCAATAAACAATTACTAATAAAATATATGTAATGAAAGTTGAGTTGAGTTGAGTTGGGTTAAGATCTAAGATTAAGAAGTTCGAGATTTTAAGGGATGAGAAGAAGGTTGAGTTGGGCCCAACTTGAACGAATCCAACCCAAAGTTGATTGGATTAGATTAGGGTTGAAAAAATTTAGCTAAGGTTAGGGTTAGAGTTGGGTAGGTCAAGTTGAAGGTTAGATTGGATTAAGATTACAGTTAGGGATTTAGAACTTAGGATTAACCTCAACCCAACTTGCCGATGATCTAATAACAGGGCAAAGTCTAAAAATTAAAAATTGTAGACGTCAGTGCGGTGGAGAAGATTAAAACAATTTTTTGTCGTCGCCTGAGAGATTCGAACTCTCGCGGGGAAACCCCATGTACTTAGCAGGCACACGCCTTAACCACTCGGCCAAAGCGACATTCTTTGTTTTGTGGCTAGTCTTTTTTTAATTTCTAAGGGAAATAAATCTTTGAACCGGTTGATTCAAGCGATGGGTCAATTAGATTCTAATCCGATGATAAAATATATGTTCCTTATGAGAGAATTCTCAGATTCTCACTATATTAAATATCCCCCAAAAAAGGCAACAACCGAAGCCAAAAAGCGATAGCTCATCTGTGTTTCTCAGAAGAGAAGCAAAGCCAATCCGAGAGAGAGAGAGGGTACATACAGTTCAGCAGACCCAACCCAAGGCGAAGCCAAGGGGAGGAGGGTGCAGGCAGGCACCTCAGAGGTTGGAGAGCCTTTGCGACTGAGAATAATGTCCTCCATTAACGCAGCCATCACCACCTCCACCAGCAGTAGCAACAGAAGACAGGCCTACTGGTGTCACGAATGCGACGTGAGTGTCTCTCTCCTCCCTTGTTCTCCTCCTCTCCTCTGCCCACTCTGTCAGGGCGACTTCCTTGAAGAAATGGAATCCTCTTTCTTCCTTTTCCCCTTCTCCTCCTCTAACTCTAACCCTAATAATCCTACTGACGATTCCACTCATCCCTACTCTCCTCCTCCCTTCGATCCTTTCCCCATTCTCTCTCCTCCTCATATCCTATCCCCCACTTCTGACGAAGACCTCGATACCGACGACGACAACCTCAGTATTCCCGCCGCCGCCTTCCGTGTTGCCCCCTCCTCCGATCACTACCTCCTCGACAGCCAGTATCTCGATCGTCTCATTCAGCATCTCGCCCATTCCGACGACGATACCGACAGCTATCGCAGCCCTGGTTCCACACCCGCCTCTAAGTCCTCCGTCGAATCCATCCCCACCATCAAGATTACTAGCTCCTTCCTGTCTTCTGATACCATTCTCTGTGCCGTTTGCAAAGACGAGTTCGTGGTCGACGTCGAGGCCAAGCAACTGCCTTGTAAGCATATTTACCACTCCAACTGTATCCTGCCTTGGTTGTCGCAGCACAATTCTTGTCCCGTTTGTCGGTTTCGTCTCCCCACCGATGAGGTCGAGCCGAAACCCTGCCAAAGCACCAGCGTAGCCGTGAGGTTGGCGAATATGCTGGAGGACGATGATCTGTTTGGAATTGGGGGTACGTTGAGGCATATTGCCAGGAGACACAGACTTGTATTTCCTGCAAGATCTACTGCGTCTGCGGTGGAATCCATTCAGATGGCACAAGCTGAAACGAGCTCAACGGGGCCTGCCAATAGTGGGGAGACTGTGTCTAGTCGGCCGGTTGAAGGAGGGAGTCGTATGGGTGCTGCTGCTGCTGGTGGTGGAAGTGTCAGGGTGAATGAGGATGGTGATACCGTAGTATCCGAGTTTAGGGAGTTCTTGTTCGATTAAGCATAGGCTGTTGTTGGATTCTCTTTTTCCAAACTTAAGGTATGCTTTGGATTATCTTCCATTATGCATTATATATTTATTTATTTTCTCCTTCATCTGGTGGTTCGTATTGGCTTAAATGATCTGTATCTCATCTACACTTTGAAGTTAACTTTAAGTAGTGGAGTTTAGAACCGTTAAACATAGGGAATCCTTAATAGGTTTTATTTGGAATTAAATTAATATAATCCAGAGGTAGTAAAATGATGGATTTCATGGAAGGTGGCAACTGAGACGTGAAACCTATTAGACTTGTGTTTATTTTCAAAAAAAAAAAAAAAAAAGAAAAGAAAAAAGACTTGTGTTCAAATGTTTTTCGTATTGCCGACCTGGTTCTACCTCCATGCCTTCAATAAATACTAGTGCTTGTATTCATATGTTTTTCGAATTGTCGACCTGGTTCCACCTCCATGCCTTCAATAAATACTTGTGCTCGTACCACAGCAACTTGTTGAATGCCAGTTTGAAGGTTCCAACTACTAGAGCAGTTTGTGATAATGAATTATCTTTTCTTTCTTGGATTCTTTTCAAGCCTTCATATTTAATCAGTATAATATTTTTTTCTGATGAGGAGAAAGTTTGGAATTTGTGCCTGTGAAGTAAAGTACTTGTGGGATTGATAAAAAAAGTAAAGTACTTGTGGGTGGAAGGATTGAGAATAAGTTCTACCACTCGCTAGGGAGTGAGGATGGTACATCTTGGAATATATCACAAGTCACAAGACATGCATTTTTGATATTAAACATCCAATAAGGAAACCAATAAAGGCGAATTTTCTATTTGACCCATTTTACTTTCTTCCTATAGAGGTAGAGAAAACAGAGTAAAACAGTGGAAAATGAGTTAATCAGAAGAAGCAACGTTTCCTTTCATTTAAATTTGCATTACCAATGAATCTCTCTTTTCTCTATCTTGTTAATATTCCCAAAACCTACACTAGTAACAACTAAACCCAGTTTTTGTTAGAATTTCAGCTTCCAGATTAGTCCTTACCCAACAATTTATAGCAATTAGGACTGAATATTTGATTAATCTATCAGTTTGGTTATACAAAAGAATTGAAGGTTACAGGAGAATGGTTTGGTAGTCTGGTAGAATATAGAAATATCTGAAACCAACTTCAAGCCCCAATTTGAAATGATATAGACAAGTGAAAACAATCTCTTAAACACAAGGTGCCAACCAGTGTTGGTAAGGTCTCCTGCTGGTCATAGCGGTTAGCGGAGACTTGGGATTGAATCCCACCTGCACCTGGGTTGGGGGATGGGCTACTCCCCGTTGTGTAGCCCTTCAGAATATATAAAAAAAATCTCTTAAACCATCATTAGCCTTATACAAGATTCTCTTCCATTTGGCTTGCTTAAACTTACAGCCCTGTTGTTGTGGTGTTTTGGATTTGAATGCAGTGCTTTTAGATAAATTTCTTTCCAAATCAAATTTGAATGCCTTGAACATATATTGGGAATGTTTATTTTCTGGTGTCAGGGTAATATTGGGAATGTTTGTTTTCTGGTGTCAGGGTAGAAAATTACTTCACCTGAAACTTCTTGCCTTTTTCCAGTGTTCAAAACTTCCAATTCAATTGTGATCCTTCTGTGCTACCTATTCATATTTGGCCACTCAGTGTCTTTGTTTTCTCCTAATTAAGTATCGCATATTCTTAGCATTTCTGCTATATTAACATCTCCATTTTTTATTAGTAATTTTGCATCTATTGATCTACTTGGTGTGATTGAAATACCAAATGAATTGAATGACATGATCATTATTTAATGGATGAACCTCAACTTAACTCAATAAATCTGTATACCCATGCTCTTGCGGTCTTGCCTAAGCCATGCAAGCAACACGTGACATTCATATCCTTATAGGTGTGGCTAAAATGGTTTTTGAACCATCTTCCAACTTGGTACAACCCTTTTATATCCACGATTTTATAGTAGCTTGAGATCGTGAGTGGTTAACACAGTGTTTCTATCCTGAACTTCTCATTCAGGTCGAGTGCCAGAGCTGTGACAACTTAGCAGACAGATTTACCAGCAAGACTTGGGGTTTCAAGAGAATGACTATGTTGGGGGTCACCAGGGCCAGGGGCTAATTGTAATCACAGTGATAAGGGGGTGGTTCAGCATTGCTGATTTCTTCCTTATGCTGTTATTTTTTAACAGTGGTTTCTTTTTGCATCTGAACGAGTTAGGCACCATATATGAATAATGCTATTGCATTGTCAACTAATCATTGACAGTTAGTTCTGGGTCGGACCAACTTTATGACCAACTAATTGGACAATTATGTGGATGCCTAGAATGGACAGTAAATTGATGACTAGTCAACTACAAAGTTATTTTAAAGCTTTAATGCTTGTATCTCGAATTATTTGAAAAAAAATTAGAATATGTTGGTATGTTACTAAATTTGCGCTATTGCTTTAAATATTTTTGATGGAACATGATTGGATGAATATAGAATAGAAAAAAGCAGTAGAGGAGTTCTTTTAAACTTCCACAACTAATATCTTTTCCTCCCCACAGAAAATAGGAGTTCTTTTCTTAGGAGTAATTTGAGTTCAGTCCACCTCAGAATTCATAATGCGATTGTGCAGTTTGGGTCAGTGTCAGGGAGGCGGGGGGGAGATTCCCAATTTCAGGGGGATGCTGTTTATAGGGGGTCTGGGGATAGATACATTTTGGGGAATTAATTTATGAATTCTGAGGTGGAGTGGACTATAGAAAGGCCTAGTATTTATTGACTTTGACTTTTTTATTAGATTGCATTAATATCTTCAATTCGGGACATCTCTCTCTCTCTCTCTCTTTATTGACTTAGTGCCTACCTAGTTAGAATTTAGAAATTGACGAGAGGCCAAAATTCTTAGTCATTGCCTCACTGAAAGGAAAACTTAAATATATATCAGCATGCGATCTAAATTCTGAAAAAAAAAATAAAATCTTGTTAGCTCAATTGGTTAGTGCCATGGTTGTAGCCTTCTGGTTTAGTCCTACATAATTAGTTACCTAGTCAAACATCAAATTCAAGGTGAGGATTTCATACTTCATGGTACCATTTCCATGTTAATGCATCGTGAGCTTGGGGCATCTGCTTCACTCTTATCTCATGTGAAGTGAACTGCCATGCCGAATCTCTGGGGTTGCTACCTAATATATACTCTCGTTGGGTTTCAACTTAGATTGCTTGCATCTCCCCCAGCTAGATGTGATATGTTAGAGATGCAGACATGGTACAGTTTTTGGATGTTAATGATAAAATAGGTCATTAAAATTTAGAATTTGACATTGGGGGAGAGGACAAGTACATTTGTGAGGGCTGATCTTGTTTTGTTATCTTTTTCTTTTTTCTTCTTTGAAAAGCCTTCTTTCTGATTTGGTTATGTTGTATTGTTGCAGCTGTGTACATATCCCCCTTCATGCATCTCTCAAATGGGTGTAGTGGATCTATGGAATTTTTCTTATTAATGATACTATTTTGATCATTGCCACTGATGAAGAAGTGGTTTATTTGTTAAGACAATTCAGATACTTTTTTTTTTCAGCTGTATTTCCATATTTTGGAGGAATTGTGGAATAATTCAAACCTTCTATTTCGTTAATGGAATATATTAGTTGTGGAAGTTTAATAAAATAAGCAGCGATCATGGAGTTAATTATGTAAAATCGATTGACTGATCCATTAATCCTATTTTCTGTGGGGAGGAAAAGATATATTCTAGTGTGCTCAGACTTGCAATCGGTCTTCTTTATTTGATTTGGCACTGTTTTGCAGTTCGTGTACAGAGAGATGGCAAAGGAAGATGTCCATGAGGAGCTTGGTAAAAATATGTTTAAATGAAATGCAAAAATAAATGCATTCGAGGATCTGGTTTATGCTGTATACTTGAGCTACTTAACTTTGTTTTTGTTTTGTTTTGTTTTGTTTATCTTTCTTGTTCTGTCATTTACTGTTGCTGGTTTTTTGTTATTTGTGTTTCTATTTGTATTAGGGGCAGACGCCAAATTCATTCTCTGAGATAAGATGTTATTCTATCCCCTGTACATTAAAACTTTTGGTGTCAATTTGAATAATGAATAGAAGACGGTTGTTTCTTTTTCATTGGTTAAATCAATTTTGCAGGAATTGGGGGGGGGGGGGGTTGTGAATAGTAAATACTCTCGTACTGAATAAAGGTGGCCGTCATCAACTCAATGGTCAGCCATGACTTTTGTACTAGCTGGGTCATGTGGTATTGGTTCAATTGTTTGGCCAGGTAAGGTCGGTTATCTTATCCTCTTGTTGTATTTGTGGTAGGGGAGGGTGGACCCTTTAGGGTAGGGGTGAGGATTCTTGGATTTGCACTCAATTCATTACCCCACACCAAATGTAGTTGTGGCTATGTAATCTGTCGTCTTAACTTTGTGATCAATCAAGATGACATCTTAGCGTTAGCGACAATAAAGTGAATAGAGACATTTGGTCGTTGGCCGTGGTCCCAAAAAAAAAAAAAGTTGAAAGTTCATGTTATTACCGTCCCCTGTCGGTGCTCATGTTATTACCCTCTCGTTGGGTTTCAACTTAGCCCCATCATCTTTTGATGGAACTTTGAGTTCTGAGTACGGATGAATTGATGATGGGGCTAGTGGTTCCCATTAATGCTTAAGAATGCGTAGTAGGCAATTGCCAACCTTGCCAGGGCTGTGACTTGTAAGCAGAAAATGCCTATCACTCTTTTAGAAATCAGAACCGAACTTATCTATTTCTCTTTCATATTTTAAAGTTTATTTTAAGAACTGAACATAAATGAAAAATTTTAGGAATAGAAAACTGTTATAGCCTCAGAGTTGAAGAAAATTAAAATATGGATTTATGAATTGATTCTTCCGTAACTGTTATAGCATTATCTATTTCTCTTTCTTTTTCTTTTATTAGGAGTAAAGATAATTGATGGCCTCTTTTGTCAATTGCCATAAAAATTTAAAGATCATAAAGAGTCTGCGAGTGAGTGATGCAGATTGTAGAGCAGGAATTGCTGGAGCTGGAGCTGAAGGCCATTATTAAGGCCGAAATTGATGATTTATTTTAATTTATTGGAGTAAATGCATCAACTGGAGTCCGTGTTCTGTGCACCCATGACAGTGCATCCGCCAATCACAATCACCAATGTCGGCGTGTTTAAAATTTATTAACTTTAACAGACGTTTGGCTGTTAGTTAAAAAATCCGGTTGAACCGGATACAAAAAGATAAAATAGTTAAAAACACACCCTCTCATACTTTCTTCCGCCAACCCCTAGCCCACAAGCATCCACCTGTGACCGGCGATCTCACTGAACACAGAAGCCACCGGCGGCGGATGTGGATGGGTCTGAGATCTCATCCTTTTTGCCTAAGTGAAGCGCTGAACCAGCCACAGTTCCAGTTCTACAATGACGCCTCTCTAGTTCCATCGGGTGCACTGTAAATTGCAAACTGAAGCAGCTTCATCGATCCCTCTCAAATTTTTGTTTACACATAGACAGCATATGCCCCTCAATCATGTCTCTGTCTCTCTCTGTTTTGTAGGCCATTCTCCCCTAAATCCCATCTAGATCCACTCCAAATCAAAGCTTCATCGTCAATTTGTCCGTCTGTCTCCTCTCTCTTTTATCCAATCTCCATCCACAACAGTCGCAGCTCTCTCTGTCTCGTAAAGCCAAGAACTGAAGATCCTCTGTTCACGTTGTCTCTCGTTCCCTCAATTCTTCTCACTCCCTCTATCTCTGCAAGCCGCGCTTTCCAATCTCACCAACAATCCACTCATCCATCCATGAAGCCCCACATTCATAAGTTGCTCAACAACGATGCGCCTCCGGGAACCAGCCACTCACCTTCTCTGCCTCGAGATGGTTACTCAGTCCCAACTCTAACCCCTGCAAATAACTCCTCTACTACCACTACTAGAAGGCCCCTGCAACCCATCTCCACCTTCGATTCCTCCATGGCCTTAACCGACGTGGTGCTCCTCACCGCTCTCTTCTTCATGGGTTTCTTCTTCATCTACATCCGCCGCTTCGCCTAAGAGAATGCCCTCAACCTCTCATGCATCCGAAGCTAGTAGCGCAGAGCGGGGTCGGCCTCGTCGGTGTCCTGCCCCGTGGTCTTGACCCAAATACCGTTAAGTCCCTGCTGGTGTTCGCCTATGATGGAAGTGCCAAGGAGCCCGTCGACTGCGTCGAGTGTCTGAGTGAATTCGACGAGGGGGAGGCCGTGGAGGTGATCCTTTACTATGGGCACGCGTTTCGTTTAACAGTGCATAGACATTTGGTTGTCGTCTCATGGGTTGTGTCCCCTTTGCCACTCCACGCAGCTGTTCCCCAAGAACAGTGACGTCTCTATGGATATAGCGGAGGAGGAAGAGCAGGCGGCGAATGACAGAAGCGATAACCAGTGCACTGGCTGCGATCGTCAACAAGAGGAGAGATCATCAACGACGGAGAGTAGAGGTACGCCTGTAGAAAGGGAGGAGGTTGTACCGGTATGACTGGGCATGAGAAGGATGAGTAGCTAAAGTTGGAGCTCAGGGGAGACGACGTTGCTTCTGAGTTAAAAATGGGAAGAAGAGTAAAAAATGGCTGGTTCAACCAGCCGAACGATTAGTAACGGAAAATATTTCCGTTAATTCATGGTTAACACGGATGAGATGACGTGTTTGCATCTCATTCGAGGGTGCACAGAACGCGGCCTCCATCAACTGGGCTCATAAATAGAAGAATAAAAGATTAATTATTTAAATATGGATTGTAGTGTGATTAAACAATCACAAGACATTTTTAATTTTAAGTAGTTTTAGACTTTTAGAAACCACGGGTAATATTATAAATGGAAGCATAATGTGGACAAAGATGGTGAGGAAGAAGTGAGTATATAGAGTGATGTCAGATATCTTCGCCTTCTCCTCTGTCATTGTATTTTGTCATTAGATCCCAATCTAACGCAACAAAAGTGTCATTACGTGAACAAATGAGCTAAAAAATACAAGAACCCTTGTTACCAAAGTATGATGGAAGTTAACTTAGACCTTAGACGGTGGTGTGTGGGTGTGTGGTGTCCATTCCGATTGTCTTACTGCCGGGTGCCAGGTGGAGGAGGAGAAGCATAGTCCACCTCCTCCAGCTGTTCAGTGTCTCAACTCTATTCTATGCTCATGGTGAATGTGTACATAAACATCTATCACCATGACTGGTATAGGAGAACTCGGATTCAGTACTCACAAAATGGTGTTCACACCATCCTCCCAGCCAATTGCAGTCGTGTATTTGGAATATTTTTGTACTTCTATGCTTTTATTTATGGGGACGGGGTAGATTTTCTCGATAGACAGCTGCAAGTAGTTGTCAGTATAGTGTGAGTATTGTTTTGTGAGGACTGAATCCTATTTTGATATAAGAAGGTGATGTTTCCATGCACATCAGAGAGGCTCATGATGAAATCGGATTTGTTTCTCACAGGACTGTGTTCACACTATTCTCACAGTCCCTTACAGCCATACATTGGGAATATCTCTCCCCGAAAAAAAAGTATAAAAGCATGGACAGATTCTCAATGCACATCTGTGAATAGTCTTGTGAGGACTGAATCCCATCTTAGGAAGGGGTGGAATTTGGCATGCAATGCATTGCAAGAAAGAATGTCTAGCTGACATAAATTACAATCCTACATCATTTTCTCTGTCTAGAATGTGTTATGATGATGATGATAAAACCCGCTCCATTACCACTTACTGAGTATGCCGGTAGGGGCGTGTCAGCATGTATTGAGGCTCATTTCTCCTTTTTGTTTTAGTTTTTTTTTTTTTAATCTGGTTCAGAGGGATCAGTTTAAGGTTTGTCTACCCCCTGAATCAGGTAAAACCCTAAAACACTCCCTTGTAGTTATAGGGGTGTATCAGAAATCCCTTGATATGATATGTATGGGCTGATATGCCAGTAGGGGGTGTCAGCTTGTATTGAGGTTCATTTCTCTTTTTTTTTTTCTTTTTTAATATGATTCAGAGAGGGTCGATTTAAGGCCTGTCTACCCCTGAAAGAAAAAAAAAACGGTTTATGAAAAAACAGTATACAAAATAGCACTATCAGCAAAAGACATTTGACTCCAAATCCCAATAGTACTCTAGTATCAGTGTATCACATCCCTGGTTGACCCATTTAGATCCAGCCACAACATTTAACGGCGCATTGCATGGTACCTCTTGTCTCTTCTTTAAACTTTGGCACCACATGATGTTATTGAGAGTGAGGAATAGTCAAGATTTGGACTTTTTCTGTTTATCTAGAAATGGGTTGCTATCATTGGATCCAATACGGGAGCATCTTGAACCGTGTAATTCCATACCACCGCGTAATTATTAAATGATCTGTATTTTTTTTTTTATTATTATTATTATTTTGGTCCAATCCGATCTAATCTAATATGAATTCATTATAAATGGATCAGGTTCAATCCAATCCAATAAATATTTTAGACCATTTTAGACTGGTCTAATTCAATGTCTAAACTGTCGAATCTGTTTAAATTCGTTTTGATTTAAATTGGTTTCAATCCAAATTTGGTTGATTGATACCTATATTCTTATCTCGTATCAATGGACGCGATATTGGCTTAATCCAACCCAATCCAATATAAATTTATTATGAACAGACCAGGTCCAATCCAATCTAATAAACATTTTGGACCAGATTGGTCCAATCCATCCAAATTGATTTTGGACTGGATGGGGTCCAATTTAAAACCGGTCCAATGACAGCCTTATCTCCCATGAACTTTATAATACAGTTGTAAGTAAACTCTTCTTGGTAGAATATTCTAAAAAAAAGGCATAAAATGTCTAAAATGCCCATATAGTTACTATTGAAGCTGGTTCCTAAGACTGTGTTTGGTTGTAGAGCAATTTTATTTGTACTAGTACAAATGTATGGAAGTGCAAATGAAAGGTTTGGTTTAGTTTTGTTTTGGGTTTTACTTTATTCTGCTTTATGTCTTCTTTTACTTCATTTGTACTGCAATCAAACAAAGTGAAGTAAAATTTGAAACAAAAATAAATCAAAATTTACACCCAAAATATTTGCACTGCCATAGTTTTCATCAGTGCAAATAAAACACTGCATAAGGGAAAAAACAATACAAACTTATGAACAAAAACGAAGAGAGTTTAAAGTTGTAGTTCCACTTTTGAGTGGTTGATATGAAGGGAAAAATTGGAAAATAAATCAATTTTAGAAAAGAGATTGAAAGGGTTTGTGATGGTAATTTATATGAAGAGAAAATTTGGAAAATAAACATTTTCAAAAGTAATTGTATGGGTATTTTAGACATTTTCATACCTCATTTAAGAAAATTTTGTTAGAGGGGATCTATTTGCAATTATGACAAAAAGGGGTGATGATTGCTATTACCAAACTTTAGAGAAAATTACAACAATAGTCACAAACTTTAGAGGAGGTTTCAGCAATTTACCCTTTTGTTTTTGTTTGGATGCAAGGTTCAAAGTATCAATACGATACGAGTTTCGGCCGTATCGTATCAATACTTAGAAACGACCAAACATATATATATATATATATTATTTTTTTTTCAAAGTTTGGTTTTTTAGGAATCTTAAAACGTGTTTTTTTATTATTAAAAAATTGAGGGTCCGAAACACATGGAAATAGGCGTTTCGGACCATATCGTTTTCAAAAGATACGATATGATACACCCCGTATCAGGTGTATTGTATCGATACTTTGAACCATGCTTGGCTGCTTGAATCCTTCCTGCTTAGGGGTGATCATGGGCTGGGCCTGGTTGGGCTTTGCACTTATGATAAGGGCTATAGAGTAGGTCCGGGCTTGACCCGGCCCGGGGTTTTGGGTTTGAAACATAAGTCCTAGCCCAGGTCTATACGGGGCCGGGCCCAATTCTGGGCCAATGTCACTCATATATAAAACATTACATATCTATAATATTTTTATGTTAAATGACATAACATGCATATAAACTTATTTTATATATTATATAATATAAAATATTACATATAATATAAATTGTACATGTCATGTTATAATATTTATATATAAAATGAATAACATAATGGAAAATAACATGTATACATATATATACATTATACACAAAATGTGTTAAGTTTAAATATATGCGGATCGAGTTTGAAGTATTAAGTCCAAGCCCAACTCTAAAATTTGTGGACCTGATGTGGGCCTGGGCTGGGCCTGATCACAAAACCCAGACCCAAGCCCGGGCTGGGCCCAGGCCAGCCCGCATATATTTAAACTTACACATTTTGTGTATAATATATACATATGTATATATGTTATTTTATATATAAATATTATAACATGATATGTATAATTTATATTATATGTAATAATTTATATTATATAATGTATAAAATAAGTTTATATGCATATTATGTCATATAATATATAGATATATAATATTTTATATATATATATGTGACATTAGCCCGGCCCGACCCGGCCTGTGCCCATATAAACCTGAGTTAGAACTTATATTTCAGGCCCGGAATATTTATCATAAGTGAAAGCTCTATTCCTGCTTCCTTCCGGTAAAGTTCGCCAATCGCCAATGTCGACTCGTCCTTCGTCAAACAACAGCTGTAGTGAATGAACTGAATGACTTATCATTTGTGATTTAAATAATAAGTCAAATGGGCTTAGCGGCGGGCCAGCGGCTCATGAGTCGGTCATTAACTCATTATGACAACTTGACAAGAAGATTGACGAGGACATCCCGTTCCGTCTTCGACGGAACGGGATGTGCTCCTCACACAGGGGCGCCTCACGGGGCACATCCACCGAGAACATCTCCCGTGAATAATAACTTATAAGTAAGTGCGGGAAATGTTCCAATGTATGGTAGGATGTCCGCCACTGCCAGCGCCACCCACCTATATAAATTATAGAAGAGCCCCGGCTTTCCTGATACATCGTCATCGTCATCCCTTCATTCCAACATTTTCACTCTGCAATCTGCATCTTCTCCCGACCTTGAAACTCTCTGCTGCGATTTTCGGCAGAATGGTTTTCAACTTCAACTTCGAGGGTGCAGGCCTAGGAGATATGTTGCTCAAGGTAGCCATCTTTCTGCTTGTGCAAGCTCTGGTCTACTTCATCCTCTCCAATTCCTCCAACATCTTCTCCAACAACGTGCGCAGGTCTAGTCTTAGAACTGTTCGTTCCGTCAGTATTCGTCGGATCTTGGCTGCACTCTCAGACTTACCTGGTGAACCATCGCCGCTGGGGTCAATGGCTTCTTCGCCGTCTCCAAAATCCCAACAAACTCATGAAGCCGATCACTAGAATACAATCTAATACCCATAATCCACTTGGGATCGATTTAGTTTATTGCTTCAAGTGATATAATACATATGTCAATGTGTCTTCCCAAGGTTTTCTTTTGTTCTTTGGTCGTATAGATATAATTTTACGTAGTGGCTATGTAAATTATTGTATAGTTTCGAGTTTGATTGTAATATTTTCCATTTTTGAATAATATAACAAGCTAGCTTAGTTTGAATCCCCACCCAGATAGTTCTAACACTAATGCTCGGTTGGGTGCTTTGCACAACATAGAACACCCACTTAATTCATCCTGGATTAATGCTTTTTTTTTTTTTGAGAATAGAATTTGTTCAGAACCTAAAACCTACCAACCAGAAAACAAAATGACAAGTAGAAAAACTAAAAGAGAAGGGAAAGTGTAAAACAGAGCAATACAAAGCATAAATATAAATTTATAGATTTATATGGTTCAGATTTTAGTTTTATGTCCACGCCGACAGAAGGAGAAGAAATCCATTATCCAAATGTTCATAGCTTTTAAAGCCTTGGCTCCCAATATACCTAAAGTTTCCCTTCCTCGTATCTTACACGCTTTGTTGCTCTCTTTTCTTGGTTCACAAGATACTGGATAAATTTCTGTGTAAGGTACAGAAACCTCAAACCAGGTTGGCCCCATAAATTGCCAAGTATCAGATTTTCAGATTTTGTGAGTCCTGCAAAATTGAATCATGGGGCAAATTCACGACTGGTATTAGCAAATGATCCTAAGAAAATTCAAAATTCCACCTTGTGACGACATTGGAGTCGAGGGCCATCTTAGAGTTGGACCGTTTCAACGATAAGGTTGCTTGCACCTGTCTGCTTGGTATAACAGACGTCCATGAATAGAGCTTGGGGTTGGACTCTACTCCTGTTACGCAAACACCCGCCCATGGACTGAGATGGTGGTATGACCTATGAAAGCTCTACGACCATTAAAAAAACCAAGAATTTGATGGGTGTAGGCCTGTATCTGCTTCTGATCCAAACAATACATCAGTTGCTTACGCTTCTAACTTGCGGCCAACACTCTTCTGAAAGCAAGAATTAGGAAAGTTGAACCTTCAAACTGATAAAATTATCGTTTAAGACTCTATCAAACACGCAATAGATGATATGATAACGAATTATAAATTTTCTCTAGGTCAGGATTTCTCCTCCTAGAAGGTAAACGGCTTATCGGATAGCTTTCTGCGCCATATAGCTAACTTCAAAGGCTCAGCCGATTAAAGTTCTAGTAACTGGGTTTTGGTTTTGGCCTGTGCTTTACTGTAAGTAGGCCAAGGCGATGCCTAGTTGCAGACATGCATTTTGCATATTCGAAGAACGAGATCGAACCACCACAGCTGGATTCTTTTTAAGCCATCATTCCACTACAAGGCTTCTCCACTGTCCATATGGCCAGTTTGAATCATCGGATATGGTGGGTCTGATCCTTTTGACGATGTTGAACTCCTTTATGGTCCTCAGGCTCCGGGGCCAAGCTTTTGGCATTTGGGAAAATTGGTTGAATCACACTATTTACTTGGATAGATGCTCGAGAGTCAAGAGACTCCATTAATTTCAACATGCTTGCAGAAGACCCAAATGCGTGAATAAACAGAGTAACCCAGATTATATGTAAATATTTTATTAGTCTAAACTATACAAACACAAGTTTATAAAGAACTGGCAACAATTAATGACATTAATAAGGCAAGAGAGATACATATTAACAGAAAAAAATACACATTTTTGAGAAAGAAAAAAAAGCAATAATAACCATTCCTTAAATGTACTTTTGGATCATTTGTTTGACTTCTTCAATCACCAACCACGCTTTGTGCCCCCCAATAACCTCCTCCTTCATCTCTCCATCTTTCCACACCTGCAGTATCGAATTGCACTCACCTTTATGTTATTTTCCCTGTTCTTTCCTCTCAAGAGGAAGACTCTAAAATATAAATGAAAAGCTTAGAGCAAATTGAATATTACCCAACTGACCTGAATTGTAGGCATTTTCTGATGCAGAAAGAGAAACCCAGAACAGAATGTTCATCAGATTATATACAAAGGAAATCAAAGGCAGATAATTAGTAATAAGCATAAAAGGGACTAATGGAGTGAAAGTATCAAGGATTAGTGGCACATGCCGAGATTTTTCCACGCTTCACCAAAGTTTGAGGGACCGTGTTAACATCCACGCTGTAAAATTTTGCTCTGCAATAAAAGAAATTATCAGAAATGAATGAAGTCAATGAACAATGCAGGCTCTTAAATACAGAGTTGCCGACTCTTTTATCTTTTAATAACCAACAAAATATGTTCTTCAGACTATCTTTTTCCCTGTTTTATTTGCAAGATGAATTCATTCATTTCCCTTTTTTCCCTTTATCATTAGTTTTTTATATAGGGCTTTTCCAGACAAAATCTGAAAGAAATTATCAGTTAAAGAATCCAAAGTACAGAATTTCTTTTAATACCAGTAGCATTACGCACCATGTCTATGGATCACACTGAAGAAAGAAAACCACTTTTCTGAACTATTCTATATTCTGATTGCAATGAAATTGTTTAATAAAAAAATTACAACACTTGAAAGTTTAAATACATATTCCGCAGATGTCTTTACTAAGTATTTTTATGGCAGATTGATGATTTACCAAATGAAGATTTTGGACTCATTAACACCAATAACAAATGCTTAATTACTTACTTGGTATCATATTCCACTGCCAATTTCTCCAATTTGGGCTTCAAATAGATACATTTTCGGCACCAAGTAGCCACCCTGAAAATTAAAAAAAAAAAACGAAGTATTGGTTTAGAAGAAAAAACAGAAAAGGAAATCTATTTGAGTGTGGGGGTGAGAGAGAGAGACCAGTCGATGACGATAGGCTGGGAGAGCTGCTGGGCTTGGAGAAGAATCTGGTCGAAGTGATCACAGTCGGAGATGGGTTCCATTTGGAGGACATTTGGCCTGGAAAAAGCTTCAGCTCTAAAATAAATCCTGGATATCCTTCTGCCCTCTCTCATTCTACTATCGCTTCTTCCAAAACCAAAAGTGGAAGACGAGAATCCTGTTCCGCTCAGTGACACCGAACAGCTTCCCCCAGTCGATGACTGTTGTTGTTGATCTCTGTAACAAATAGGGTCCCTGTATATTATATGTGAATTTGCAACTAAAACTGCCATTCTACCTTCACTATGTCTGTGTGTGTGTCTCAAATAATCAGCAATTCAGCACAGCAAAGGAAAATGTTCTGAACAAAGGATCACAGAACTATAAGACAAGCATTTGGGAATTGTGAATATGATTGCTCAGAAGCCGATTTGGTTTCTTCTTTTTTTTTTCCCTTTATTTTGATATTAAATGGCGAGAAATAAGAGAGAGAGAGAAATGGGTGAAAGCAGAAGAAAAGCTTATCCAAACTGGAAAATCTAGGATCAAGATATTTATGTAGTTTACACTTTACACCTACGAGTTTACTCGGGCCTGGATTTTTGGCGATACGTTTACATTGGATTGCCGCTTGCCGTAGCGTCTAGCCTGAAGATTGTGCTCACCCGCCAGTCGCCACCTGTGGGCTGCCCACCCAAGTCATTTGCTTCGAGTGGCTGCGCTAGAATTTCTGCCACGTGGTGAGATGACTTTGCGGACCTGGGTCCACCATTAAACATTAAAAACTTCCATTTAATGTTAGGGTCTTAATTTTAGAAGTTCTGGGGATGTAGTTCAGATGGTAGAGCGCTCGCTTAGCATGCGAGAGGTACGGGGATCGATACCCCGCATCTCCATCCAACTATTTTGTTTTTTCATAAGTGCTCTCTTCAGCCGCTCGAGACTCGCATTCCTAATCCCACTGATCAGAATATGGGACGGTAATGGAAGTAGAATGCGGAAACAGTGTCATGGATTGAACAAGTGCATCAGGCGGCTATGGTTACCTAATCCCATCAACCTAACCTATATTTTGGTCATGCCATGGATCACTTCTTTACTGGTGGGAGTGGGACTACTGAAATACTGAAACTGGAAACACACTACACACCCTCTCCCTGCACGTGCAATATGTTATATGTATGCTTATTGGTTCGGTCGGTCGGTCCGATGACAATTGACACAGCCCGACTGGCCGAGGCCAGGCACGATCATTGATCACTGATGATTGATTAGTGTCCAAATTCCAATGTCCACCACCCGGGCGTCGGGCGCCTCAAATTTTCTCGTGATTTTATTGGATGGATGAGCTCCTCAACTCTCCTTCCCGCAGATGAATATTGCTCCTCACCAATTTTGACCATCACTCACTCACCTTTGCACGATATAACAACTAACAGGTGAATCCGTGAATTTCTCATTTCTGTCTCTTTTCTTTTCTCTCTCTCTCTCTCTCTCTCAAAAGCTCGATTTTGATTTTAAGAAAATTCTTGTTGCAGATTGAAGGAAATCTAAAACCCAGAGAATATATTCTTCCTTTTCTTTACAGGAAATGAGTTCATCCAAAACATTAAGGAAATTGCAGGTCGTTTCACCCGTTCCTGCGGATATCGATATAGCTAATTCAGTTGAACCCTTTCACATCTCAGAGATTGCGAAAGAGCTAAATCTCAGTAGCAACCACTACGATCTCTACGGAAAATACAAGGCCAAGGTAATTTACGTGAACCCCACTGATTGTTTTATCTCATTTTCCCATTCCCCGGGTTTCTTTGAAGCTTAAGGAATTCATCTTTTGGAAGTCTTACTGAACTGGGTATTCGTTTTTCTTAAGGTCCTTTTATCTGTTCTTGATGAGCTTCAAGGATCTGGGGATGGGTACTATGTTGTGGTTGGAGGGATCACTCCTACCCCTCTCGGAGAAGGCAAGTCTACTACTACAGTTGGTCTATGCCAAGCATTGGGAGCTTTTCTCGATAAAAAGGTATTCCTTTTCAATCTGTTCATAAGTACCCATCTAATATTTTTTCCCCGTCTTCTCTTTATATTAGAATCAGACTTATTAGGTAGCGTATGTATTTAGATATTTGTCTGATAAGCCTATGCTTCTGATGTCTCTTTAGAGAGGGATGGGTGCAAAATTTTGACCTTCAGTCCAATCTAATGGTGATTTGCCCTCGCCTAATTACCAAATGTAGGGTGGAAAGGTGATACGAATCTTACACCAAAAGCAGAAAGTCTCCGGGGGTTGGATGATTTTTTTATCATGCCTCTTGAGATGATGATAATTTTTTGTGTGCTCATGCGGATTCTTTGCCTCCCCACCCCTATCACACATACACACAAATACTTTTGGCTTCTTTGCTTTTGACTGGGTGTACAGAGCTTTTTCTTGAACAAACATCACTTTGATTAAATGCTTGCCTATGAAACAGGGAATTCTTAAGTAACGTAGTTCATAGTATCCAACTCCAAGATAAGTCACTGTGATACTTTACCGCGTTTTGTTCAGATACCATTAAATTCACATTCTGTACTGGCTTCAGTCATCCCGAGTCCGACTTCTAATCTCACTTGACTTGGTTCCAGACTCACAAGAATTACAGGCACCAGAGTTGGGTCCTGCAAGTGGGATTTGGTCTTTGCTAAATTTTTGTACTTTGAGTATAGCTACAGAAAGAAAGACCTTTGAAAGTCTATAAAATGTAGTAGTATCTATTATTGGAAATATTGGCATGAATATATACTCCCTTTGAGGCAAAGCATGATTTTCATTATCAGATCCTTATGCTTTCAGTTAATCAGTTCTTACTTCATCCTCCTAAACCTTTCCATCGAGTAAGATGAAAGTATAAAACTCTCTAATAATTCTTGTATTCATTTCTTTATGGGACAGGAAGGGGGGTCTTGTTATTAAAGAACACAAGTAAAGAATAGATGAAATTACTTTCATGGACAAATAACTTGAAGTTCCTTGATCTTGAGCTTGAACAAAATAACTTGCAGGTGAAAGTGCATTGCACAAGTTGAAAAATCATATAAAAAATTGCTTAGTGAAATTCCCTACAAAGTTTCATAATGGCCAAAAAGACCAATGCAGAAAAAATTAGTGTTGTAAATGCAATTTCATGAAGATTATAGCTTAAAGTTTTCAGTGAGCTTTGCTGTGACCAGGCTCTCAGGCCCAATGCGTTGTTCTTTACTAGAAAATGTTGAGGCAGGTTATTGGATTTGATCTTATGAAGATTATGGGGGATTTTATTGGAAGAAAATATTATGGAGGAGGAGCTTCATGAGAAAAAAGTTATGATTTTTTTTTTTAGATTTTTGTTTTCTTAGGTTAAATTTAGAGAGAACACTCGTTTGATGGAAGAATGTATCTTCATCTTAAATTGGCAAAAGCACTTGAATTCTCGCAATGCTTTTTACTAGTAACTGATCCAAAAAGAAAATAAAAAAAGAACTCTTTGAAATTACTTCCTTTTCTCTTTACATTACTGGTTTCAAGGTTTCTATTGGTGAGAATAGAAATGTTCCTAACCCTACTTTGTTTGCTAGTGTTTTTCCTCCTAAGTCTTGATTATTCAAAGGATAAACAAATTCATGAAATAGGGCCTGGAAGGAGCTTTCTGATTCCAATTATATATTTTTTTCTAATACCATGGGAGTCATGATCACTCTGATATGTCTATTAGGTGTAATTTGGGATTCCCTGTTCTTTTAGGAGTAACTTTCCTTCTTTGGGATGATTTGTTAGATAAAAACCTCTGTAGTTATCATGTGAGAAATATGAACAAGATTCTTGTCATGTATGTCAGAAGAATTTCTGTGAGTCTCATTCTTTTTTGCCTTATTTCTCCACTCGCAGCAGCTGGTGGTGCATGTTCATTGATTTTGGCATTAATGAGTCATCCAACAATTCTGTTCTGATAAAACTATAGTTGGCAGCATAGTATTCTTTTCACCTAAAAGAATTGTCAATAGATGTTACCTTATGTTGCATTGCTACTCGGTGGAAATATTGGGAATGAGAAAAACATGAGAATTCTAGAAGATAACTTTTTCCATGGTGTTGTTAAAATGCCTTGATGAACATGGGAAATGACCTTGCTTGGTTACTAGGTGCCTTGCCCATCCTGGTTGTCATTTTACATGATTATAGAATTGGAAATTCAGTTCTTGCTGTGCAGCCAAAAGATGATGCAGAAATGTTTCACTTGCCAAAGCCTTCATTTGTTGGAGAGAAGTACATGAGGAAAACCTTTGTAATGTATTAATTTGAGTAAATAAAAAGATACAAAGGAACTTGAAAACCAAAGGTAAAGTTAAATTTCATATTTTTCTATAAACGTGTACACACTGTAGGCCTTTTATGGACCTTCTCCGCTAATATGAAAGACTCTTAAAGGCCCTAACATGATAACCATATATTAGGAAAATAAAAAGTGCATTAAAGTTAAATAAAAGCAATTTAAGAAGATATTTCAACTTATTAAATTTTACATGAATTTCTAAAATAAAATCATTTCAAAAGCTAATATAATAACTTTATAAGTTCCTAATATCATAAGATGATGATATCATGTCCAAATCATGGAAACATAGGATCTCTGCATAGGTACCCTAATGAACTTCCTGGTGAGACTGAAATCAATATATATGAGAAAACTTTATCACCTAGTAAAGCCATATAGGCACTAATTTAATTGAAGGAAATGATACTCATTGAAAAATATAGACTGAGCATGGCTTGGCGCTTACTCTTCTATTCTGTACAGCTTCCAAGAATTATTAGGTATACATGGGAATAATTGAAAATTAAATTGCTATGTTTAGCATAACATTTTTTGGTTATTCTTGATGAATGAATGTCAATAAATTTCCAATTATGATGATGACCATGTTTTGTTAATATCTTCCAATTGTATTCATATTGTTCTCTGCTTGTGCTATTAGGTTGTGACCTGCCTTCGTCAACCATCTCAAGGACCAACATTTGGGATCAAAGGGGGTGCCGCAGGTGGTGGTTACAGTCAAGTGATCCCAATGGATGAGTTCAATCTGCACTTAACAGGAGATATCCATGCAATTACTGCAGCAAATAACCTTCTGGCGGCTGCCATTGATACTCGGATTTTCCATGAGGCAACTCAATCAGATAAGGGCCTTTTAAACAGATTATGCCCACCTAATAAAGAAGGAAAAAGGAGCTTTGCAAATATAATGTTTAGGCGCCTCAAGATGCTTGGTATCTCAAAGAATAACCCTGATGATCTTACACCTGAGGAAGTGAAGAAATTTGTGAGACTTGATATCAATCCTGACTCCATTACCTGGAGAAGAGTTATGGATGTAAATGACCGTTTCCTTAGAAAGATTACCATTGGGCAAGGTCCTGAAGAAAAAGGAATGGTGAGAGAGACAGGCTTTGATATCTCAGTTGCTAGTGAGATCATGGCAGTGCTGGCCCTCACAACATCCTTGTCTGATATGAGAGAGAGACTAGGAAAGATGGTGATAGGGAACAGCAAGGCTGGTGACCCAATAATAGCAGATGATCTTGGTGTTGGAGGTGCCTTGACCGTGTTAATGAAAGATGCCATCGACCCTACTTTAATGCAGACCCTTGAGGGGACTCCAGTTCTTGTACATGCAGGACCTTTTGCCAATATTGCTCATGGGAATTCTTCCATCGTAGCTGATAAGATTGCACTAAAACTGGTAGGACCTGGTGGATTTGTAGTCACAGAGGCAGGTTTTGGTGCAGATATTGGCACGGAAAAGTTTATGAACATAAAATGCCGATACAGCGGTTTAACACCTCAGTGTGCTGTTATCGTTGCAACAATAAGGGCCCTGAAAATGCATGGTGGAGGACCTGAAGTGGTCGCTGGGAAGCCTCTAGACCATGCATATTTATCCGAGAATGTGACTCTTGTTGAAGCTGGCTGTGTGAATCTGGCCAGGCATATCTCCAACACAAAGGCTTATGGGGTCAATGTTGTGGTTGCTGTGAACATGTTCTCAACTGATACCGAGGCAGAGCTGAATGCGGTGAGAAATGCAGCATTAACTGCTGGTGCATTTGATGCTGTTGTTTGCACTCATCATGCCCATGGTGGAAAGGGAGCGGTTAGTGAATTCTTGCCCTAAAAACTTAAATTTCTATCTGTTTGTATGTATAATATCTTATGCTCTTTTGGTAATATTGTAGCACCGATACATGGTATAATATTTTACTAAATATATATGTATGACATGTAATATGGTGTTATATATTATTATATACACTAACTTTTTAAATATGTTTTTTTTTTTTTTTTTTATGTAACTATAAACATAAAGTTAAAGTAAAATTTTAACTTTAATTCATATGGGCCAGCCCAGATGTTCAGCCCGGCCCAGGTCCAGGCATGTAATATCAGGCCTGGGGTGCGGGCCAGGCCGGGCTCGGGCAGGGCTTAATACTGTTGATACCCTATAAAAACCTGGCCTGGGCCCGGCCCAGCCCATGATCATCCCTAAGATAGAGTGGTTACCATGACGATATTAGGCCTGAATCTATAGGATCATAGGTAGGGTTATCAATGTGTTGGATCATGATCTGGATCTGATCACCTTACACCCACACAGAGTTGGATAAGAAGAGTTTGCTAAAGAAGGGATGTTAACAACTTTGGGATCTTCATCGTAGCAGTATGGTTGGGAAATACTAAAAAATCGAGCACAAACAAGCCTGTGCAGAATTCCTCATTCATCTGGAGATCTTCTCTAAATGATTTAACTAGCAAAAGCATGCCCTTTGAAAAAAAGAATGAAGCTTTGCATGGAGAATACCACTTGGGAAAGCTTAGTGACCTCTTTAGAATACATACATTTGTAAAGTTGGTTTTGTTTTTCTTTGCCAACAATAAGATTATCAGTTACATGTTTTAGAAAAGTCAAATTTAGTTCCTTTTATTGAGGAATTATAACATCCAGTTCCAATCTCGAATTGCATTAGTGAGGTACAGTTCTGATCCTGATGTCCTAAATTCCTAATTATGCAGTTGTATTGAATTCATATCTAGGTATATCAGATCGAAAGCTAGCCTCTTTACAACGACAACATAGACAGGATATGTCTGGGGTTCCATCACATCACAGTGATGTCATCACTCACTCACCACATAGTACATGTTTAAAGGATCTAAGACATGTTTACCTGAGAGGTTACCTACACCACCAACGAGTGATGATCAATGAGATGACTTAAACTACCAAATCTTTTTGTTGGTTTCTCTTCCATCACATAGGTGCTTTAACAGAATGTTTTTCAGTATCTAAATTACTTAAAATAAAAGGACAGTTTGCATGACTCATTCAAGATTATTTTTATTCAGTTACTCTGTAGAGTCCTATTCTGATCCAAAGGGAACAAAAAAGGACAGTCATGATTGCTGTCCTTGATGGGCGTGACCCCAGACCCAAGATATTCCAATGAGTATATTCCTAAGGGATTATCATTATACAAGTGGCACATATGCCCGTACATCCAGATCAGCCAGCCATTGACCCCATGGTGGCCCAGGAAAGTGGTTATACTGATGTCAGTGATCAGGTTAACCATCCACTTTAAGAAAGACTATATTAATGTTAAATGCTTGAATGGAAATTTCGTTGGTGGGATGTATTGGTTGATTTTTATCTCTACCTGCATGTTTCTGTTACTGACGTGAGAAAAAATGTGCCAAAAATTTCTCAAAAAGTGTACCAATTTTCAATGAGCATTCATTAAATAGTGAGGGTGGATTATTAATGAAAGTTACCTAATATTGTTGAGATATTAAAGCATGAAAAATGCATATAGAGTAAGGCAAAAAAGCACAGACGATTGAACTAAAAATCATGAATTTTGTCCTAGAAATTATGTGTATCATTATGCTACCATGGGCCTGATACTGTACAACATCAGTCATTAAAGGTTAGATTTCTAAACAAGTTAGAAAGCTGGGGTAGTTGACCTTTAGTCAGTCTTGTAGGACTGAAAAGAAATCTCTCATCTACCTGAGGATGGACATTTCTTGACAGAAATGTAGTTTCCTCTCAACAATGTCAATAGGAGATTTTGTAGTCTAGGTAAGCAACACATAAGATGATCCCAATGGTTCCATCATCTGAGTTACCAAATGTAAATGGTTACCAAAATTATTTTGGTGCGACCAGATTGGTCTCTGGTCTTAGAGATCTTCAAGTGGTTGTTATTTTGTCCTGTACTACCTGTTGCTGAACCATTAATATGATGTGGGTTGAATATTTACAAGGTTGACATGTATTTATATGTTGCCTATGCATGAAAGATATTGATTGACATGTATCTGTGTTGCTTATGCATGAAAGATAGTGATTCACAGGTTAATTTAATTGTTGAACTTTTACCTAAATGTTATCCTCAGGTTGACCTTGGCATTGCTGTTCAAAGAGCATGTGAGAATGTGACACAACCATTGAGGTTTCTATACCCATTGGATATAAGCATCAAAGATAAAATAGACGCAATAGCAAGGTCTTATGGTGCCAGTGGTGTCGAATTGTTAGACAGTTTTGTATGCCCTTAGCTTCAATCAGAATGATGTACTTTATGAGTTTATTGTAAATGAATAAAGATACATATTTGATTCATGTTCCCT